TAGGTTCAGGTTTAAATATATAAAAAGACAATGTCAAGCAGATAACCTACGTGTAGGTAATACGTATGCTGTGCTGGAATAGTCCTTTGTAGCCCTAAGGGGTACGAATCCAGTAATGCACGAGCCAATTAAGATCATCAGCAGACATTTTTTTTGGTCCGTACCCAAATACTAGGCTAAACGATACGAAGATGCATTATATGTCTATACGCAGATACAGCCTTGATTATATACCATGGCTTGATGTGCTGTACACGAAGAATTCAGTAAATACGATCAGACTGATCGCTCTTCATAGTGATATCCCCAATAGCTCTATACTTGTTCAAACACGATAATTTTCGTTCCTTTTGATGAAGAAGATGCGTCTTTCAAGCAGTAATATAGCGTCTTCTCTCCATATTGGAACTGCTCAGAGTTAATTTCGGACAGTAACGATCGCAAATATCAAATCATGAAGAGCGTTTGAAATATATTTTGCAAGTAATCAGAGTACAAAAGAGGTTCTACAATACAGTTTATCCGCGATACTTTGCGCCACGTTTAGAAAAAAACACTTCCATTTTCTTGTTACGGTCAGATCCAGGAAAACTGGGGTTACACTGTTATCGAAATAGCTGCACCTTTAAATGTACGTTAGTAAATAATCTCTAAGTATATATAAAGCAATAAAATACATATGTTGAGAAACATTAAATTCTAGCCGTGAGAATGAACGTTCCTTAGCCGTATAGTTGTTTGCTAGGGACCAAAAAACTGTCATGATAAGCACCGTATTTTATGTTTATTAAAAATGGCTTTCGATAAATGATACATCTAGCTGGTTCGTCACTCCTAGTTAATGAGCATTACTTAAAAACACGCTACCGCTTTTTCTTTATTGTTTGGCGCACAATCACTTGCTCGGGTTTTGAAGCTGTGCTATATATATATATACATATGACTTATAGAACTCAGCTGCTTGCACTTACGTACAATTGACGACTATAGAAACACACTACCGAAAAAAAAAGTTTGTAAACAGATGCTGCTGACAAGCTCGTACACGCACTTGTTAGCATACTTCTTAATTGTCAGTTCCGAGAAAATAAGGAAATATTGAGAAGTCCAGTACAACGCCTTATGAATTGAATCGCTGGGTTATTGGATGTTCCATCAACAGGCCATACCCCCAAACCGTTAGCAACAGGTGTACAATCTACGCGTCTGCTCAGATCACTATGGTTTAATTCGATGGATGATGATTTGGTCCACGTGTCGCCATAGGTCTTCACAAGCCTACCAGTCACTGTCTGCCTTATATATTGACAATTCATATGCTTATAAAATAGCAGCAAACGATGCTGTACTGGGTCAGTGCCTTCTCTGACTACTCAGTTTGAATTGATGCAATGGTACAAAACAACGTCGGTTTAAGACATACAATCGAAGTTGCTTGAAATGTCATGGCCGTCTTTCCATTATAGTTCAGAGAGGGTATTTAGCCCTGCTTTATACTTGAATGTAATGCACAATTTAAATAAAGTATTTCGAGTTCTGCGTACGGAGTCGCGTTTTAGGGCCTCCATGATGTAACATTTAAAAGTAATTCTAGAAATAGCATGGGGGTTGATGACGCCGAGTCAGTGACCTGTGAGACGGTCAGTTCGATGAGAGTCTCTGTCTTACCAACACTTTGAAGGCACGAAAATTTTCTGATTATCTCAGGCTCACTAAATCTCTCTCGACAAGATATCTTCTTTGGTGTTGTATTTGTCTTAAGCTATATCACACACGAATCATGGGAAGTTGACAAAAAACCATAGCCTAAGCTCACGCTTTTCCACTTCTGCATCAGACGTATCTAATTAATAGTCGAAGGCTAGTAGACACATTTGGCCGATTGCAGTCCCCACATTTAAATTTGACCCTGCCAATAGGCTCCAAACACAACCGATGAGGACAACTGGGCATAACCCCCTTTATCTAGTTCATCTATGGATGTCAGCACGGCGCTAAGGTACGCAGTTTGTAGCACAATTGTTAATCTCGAATAAGATCCCAACCCTTTTTCGAATAATAGGTTTTTCTATTTGTGGCAACCTTCAGAATATAAAAGGATGGTGATAGCAATATTCTTTTGGTAGATCGAACTGGTTCCAGCTACCAGGAGTCTTTTTGCTAAGTAGTTCCCAGATCTACTAAACGATATATAATTCGGATAATAATCCTTTTAAATCAAGCGCTTTTCACTGTCTCCATCCATCGCCCTCCCTGCTCGATATGAAGATAGGCGGCGCGATGGCGTCCTTCCTAGTTATTGCGCAGTTAAGTACCGTCAGCGCAATCCAACGTTTATATCGCGGTTTTAAAGTCTTTATTTCTCAAGGGTAACTTCTGGATGTAGCCACAATAAGGTGTATCTCGTTGTCCTAACAACGTGTCTATGCTAGCCCTCGGACAGGAACAATTGCATTTGGGCCCACGTCAGCTCGCATGTACATGCGTCGATACTACCGTAAGTGGACGTTTTAACGGGGCCCAAATAACACGGTTTTCAAGCACCCGGGATCTGGATAGCATTAATATGCAAGTTTTAGGAGTTAAAAGGAAGACCAATAAACAGAAATCAGGAACTTGCGTTAGTCATGTTCAGGAAATTAAGATCAGGCATAGTAAGAGAGAATCATAGTGATAGTTACTGGTCTGAATAGAATGAGTTTAATGCTTAAAAAATTTGCCCGCCAACATTAGCTGTTTGCAGTTTTTTGTCGCTGTAGGCCGACTAATGAAAGCCATTTGATCCCGACAGCACGAACAATATGACCTAAAGCATCTCGATGGTAGCTTTTCTGGTTTTATTAGTTTCCACGGTCGTTGACGAATATATATATATATATATTAGTGCTAAAATTGGTTGCCTATCGATCTAGGCGAGAATAAAGTTCACTTAGACGGTAAGAAGGCCAATTTCAGTATAAACTCGCGCTTTTTCAAAGCGTTTCGTTCTACTCGTGAACAGTAGAAAACGGAACGTGAATAATAGACAAGAGCGCTATACTTATCTATTTCGTCGAAGTTTTCCTGCGGCAATATGAAAAAAGGATCTAGTCAGGCTTCGTTTCTGCACCGAACATAAGACAACGTATACTGCAATCGTGTGACTCGACATGACGTGCAGGTTCTGCATTTCATCACTGTCCAGTGACGTAGGTCTAATTAGTATAGTTAATTTGCTTTCGTTTGCCATAGTGACAGCGGCTCGAAACGCCTGTAAATCGAGCTGTTTTTTTCTCCGCGTATGAAAAAAATCATTGTTGACGCTTAAAGACTAAATTACTTTAACAACGTACGGGTGGTAGGGGTATCGTCGATAATCGTTTCACTCCTCCCGCAATAGAAAGGGGTTATTCTTGTCGCTAGCTGTCGAGTGGCTTTTGAGTGAAGTTCGCTTCGAATGGAAAGACAAAAGGATGAATAGCTAACAGATAATGACTATAATATTCTTACAGGGACTGTTTGGAGGTGAGCTTTAGATCGTCCACAAGAAGTGGAGACGTTGCGCTTGTTTGTATGCTTTATCTGCAGGAGTCGAATCATACAAAGACTGCCCTCTTTTACCGGACACTTCCACGAAGTGTCTTGGCGCCACCTAATGACTGTACATGGAAATTACTTTTTCCAGGAACTTGATTCGAGGTGTGCGGTTTGACGCGTGTATGAGTCTTGTCGTTAAAATAATACTAGATTCAGCTAAACACGACACATTTAAGTCGACAAAAACGATGCGTTCGGTCGTGGCCTAGCGTTCCTTTAGACGCAAAGATTAATAATGTCCTAGTGAAGGTTATGTAGAAGTAAAAATCTACAAAAGTTTGTAAACAGACCTGTACTCTTTTGTATTTCATTTATTAGCATCAACGCTATGAATCGAGAACTTTGGCGGGCTTGTGTCTTAAAGCGGAACTGAAACCAAAACCTGTCAGGGTGGCCATCTTAACTGGAGACCTTTTGCCATGGCGAAAGATGGCAGTATTTTCAATGAATCGTACTCCATTCTTAGGTATCAACTGTTTGCTCAGTATGTATATAATACTTTCCAAATGCGCCGCACTAAACGCCATATCCTGTGTTCGATCTCTGTCAAATTGTAAATATTCATCGCGGAGACAACAATAGCAAATCAGCTGCTTACGTGACCTTTTTGCACGCTGGAGTTTCCGATGTTCAGCATGCGTATCCCCGTTCCATAATGCCAGTGACCCATTACCGCATTGGTTGCAAGATTGCTTTAGCACTATGAATTTGAATTGATTCACTTTCTTCGAAATTGGAAAAGCTTGATTCGTCAATAAACCGTACCGTACACCTATATATATATATATATATATATATATAGCTGTAGGTCTATCTGTCACCCAGTTTGTTCCTGTCAAATATCCTATATGAAATAATCTTGTTGGACTATTTAAGCAAAAACTGGCTAAAGATTTTCTGATAGCTAAAAACCCTCTACACTGGACATTGAGAAACTACGTTTTCCTTCGATGTCTTGACTAGAACAATTCATAGGCAAAGGCATCTCCAAATGAGCAACAAATAACCAAATGGCTACAAAAAGGCAAAATGTTAAATAATTATTAGGAATACTTCCAAGCGCTGTGTTCAAAGCATACACAATGGAGGGTGTGGCTTTTATTTATACGAAATAGAAAATCTTTAATTTTGCTAATCTAGTCACTGGTGCTTGAATTCGCTCCGCAAGTTCGTTCTAAATAGTAAAAGTAACCTATAGAATACTGCAAATCCATACAAATGTTGTTAAAAAAAGAGTCGAACACAACAGTTCCTTTTCGTTCAGCTAACCTACCTGCGATGTATATGCCCGTACAACAGTTTTTAGGTATATCGAGATTTCTGACAAAGTCGATTATTCTTCTTGCCACTAAAGAAAGGGTAATTTGTCGTTATACCGCCAGTTGTAAGGTCAGTTAAATAGATCGAGGCATCGGACGGTGAAGATGGCTGATGGGGTAGAATTGCAAAACCCGCATCTTGACTATTTGGAAACAGACTATTTGTACCACCTCGGCTTGTCCACAAAAGATGATCTTGAAAAACTCTTTTCGGATGTGCGTTTCGTCTGTATGGGTGGAACCTCGCAAAGAATGCTGAGATTCGCCGAGCATATGAAGAGACTGCTAAATGTCAACCATAAAGTGCAAGACCTTACCGGACACGGCAGTCGATTTTCCATATTTAAAATCGGTCCTGTGCTTTCCGCAAGTCATGGAATGGGTTGTCCGTCGTTTAGTATCCTTCTGCACGAGTTACTCAAACTGCTCAAGTACGCGAAGTGTCGAAACATAACGATGATAAGACTGGGCACAAGCGGGGGTGTCGGTGTCGCCGGAGGAACGGTTGTGGTGAGCACAGGGGTAGTCGATGATCTTTTAAGGGAGAATCATCACTTTCATATTCTGGGCGAAGTTGTTGCCAGGCCCTGTACCCTTGACGAAAAACTTGCGGAAACCATTACAACCCATGGCCTTGAAATGTTCCCTGACATTCCCATAATCAACGGAAAAACGATGTGTGCAACAGATTTCTATGAATCTCAGGGTCGTCTTGATGGTGCCTTCTGTCACTACGATTACTCAAGAAAGATTCAGTTTTTACAGAAGCTACAGGCTCTCGGTGTGCGTAATATCGAAATGGAGGCCTCTTTATTCGCGGCAATGTGTGCTCATGCCAGAGTCCCGGCTGCCCTGGTTTGTGTTACAATGTTAAACAGGTTGGAGTCTGATCAAATGCCTGGAGACGAGAAATTACATCTTCAGTGGCAGGACAGACCTTTAAAAGTAGTTGGCGGGTATATTTCGAAGGTTTTACGCGGAAATTGAAGTGTGTGGGTTAGTGACATGGACTGGGTGCTATACAGCCCTATCAAGTATAGCGAAAAAAAACGCCGTTAATACATCTATTCATATACGAAATCACTGCCAGCCATGTTAATAGTCATAATAAATATGTGAATTGCTCTGTTCAGTGAAACTTACTCTTTCTTCATTGCACATCAAGTAATAGGCATCTCTGGGAATAAAACACCAACTTGAAATCACGAACATAGTTCTACCCCAATTTTCACCCCTTCTAGCTTTTATTACGATGTACGTAATTGGTGATCACTTCCTGGCCTTTTGTTATTATCACAATTTAGCCAATGATTGTGAGCTACGCTTTAGATTCCTTTCGGCTTTTATGGTGAGCTGTCTATAGGCCATTCTAAACTAACACAATGTTCAAACGCATACATTCTTCAGCAGCGCTTACCCCCAATGGAATAGGTTAATTCAAGGGGAGCGATAGGGGTTTGATCGTAAGGTAAACCTCTCGCTCGTTCCCATTTTCTAAAGGGTCGCCACTTTCTGCACGTAGTTGCTCTACAACTCAGGCATAGCTGTCATAGCATCAGGCGAGCTGTCGTATGCCATGTTTGGCACCGCGTGCAGCGCTATCCAGGAAGCTCGCTCATCTACAAAGTAGACAGACGCAGAAAGCTAGATATCCAGTCAGATTCAGCGGGGTTCGACGAAGCTCATCCGCCAGCTTGTTTGGTAGGTGTGTCCATCAGTTCGATGACGACAATGGACGAACTATAATCGCGTAATTTCTACGATAAAACTTATCTGCTTGCGTCGTTGTCATCGTCATGTTATCACCAACATCATCAGGATGATCATCATCATTATTATTATTGCCGTTGTTACCGGTGTCGTTGCTGAACACCATCGCCGCCTTGCTGCCGACTACCGCTAACTCCAGGGGCTGCTGGACGGCGAAACAGGGCGGAGTTAGAGCGCGCAAGTCGCCAGTTTCGGGACCAGCCAAGCAGCCGAGGTTAACTCAGCGCTGGGGAGCGGGGTTTGCCGCGGTTAAAGGCCCTGAAGCGAACACGAGAATGGGGGAATGAGCGAACCACGGACTCCGCAGTGGCGGTAGCGGCTCTCAATATCACAGATAGCGCCGTTGCTCATATTGCTGCCACTGCACTCCATCGGCAGGTAAAGGGTCAGCCGTCCTTCCGGCAAGCCCAGCAAACGCTAGCCCATTTGCCTAGCTATCGCTGTTAAAGCAGGAGGTATCTAGGAATAGACGAATAGGCAAAAAGGCCCAGCCCTAGTAAGCGGCACAGCAGCGATTCATTGACGTTAAGGCTTGTGATAACTGCGTGTGCGCTGGTATGCTACTCGGCGCTGAGTACTGCAGGGGATACGAGGCGCCGGGGCTTTGGACCTTCACCACGGATTAGGCAATGGCAGCCGCACCTCGCGGCTGAACCCATGACCCACGAGCGTTATTGGAAGTTCGTACATAACTATGGCGGCGGCAGCGTCAGGCAGTAAGGAGAAACTGGTTGTTCGTGTTGAGAATACAGAGATAACCCGGCCGGTAGCCGACAGTTAGTCGGCCCCATTTGGAGCGAATGCTTCCGAGTGGTGGCAGCCAATGCGTCGACGTGCTTTGAAGAATGCGTTTGGCTGTACCGTAACTAACGTTTAACCATAATTACGTGCGCTCTTGCACCTATGCGCTTGCTACGGTACAGTAACATAGGTTCGTATACACTCTTCGCAGATGAAACTGCGTAAAGTATCGATGTTCCGCTTTATTATCGTAGTTCGAACGCGTCTCATCTGTTGTTGTAATCGGCGCTACCACCCGGGTGATTTGCATTTGAGAGATCAGGGGAAGTTAAAAGTAGGGAGGTAAGTGAAGCAAAGTAATCGAGAAGGTGAGCTAAGAAAAAGAAGACTTGAACGAACCCATACGAAAACGAAGCTGTAAGGCAGCTCGATTTTATTGGTCACGGCACGTTAAACGAACGTACCTACTAACGTCTATTCTGGCTGCTTTGCCAATCACGTTAAACCAGGTTCATAGGATATCTAAGGTAAAAAGGAACAGGACTCCAAAAGTGTCATCCGTCTTTCACAATAAATAACACTACCTACAGGATAGGTTACCTACAGATGAGGCATCGTATGGCCAGCTAAATATATTTGCGCTGTTATCAAACTTGACATTGATAAATGGCGTGCTAAGCGGAAGAAATAAAAACATTTTTATTACTAAAAGGTATTGCGATATAACGCAACTCGAGCCGGCAGTCCGTCAGTGTAATGGTTTGTAATCACTTGTCATATATTTATCTGTAATTAGGAAATATCTAGCAATTTCCGTCAGCCGTTAGTATGTTAATGAAATTCATGTATGTGTGCTAAGACAGTAACGGGAGCACCAGATGTGGGGGCTTTTTTGCAAAGCAAAGTTACCTCTCAGCGATGCTTTCTATCAGTTAGATTTGATCTAATCATAATCTGTACTGCCATATTGTCAAAGGCTCTGCACATACGAAAAAAACACCGTTGAACTGGCCTGATATTTATCATCTGATCTACTAATCTTCTCTTTAGAGTACTCCCGTCTTTAATTGTTCGTCTGTCTGTGTCAGTAGCTATGCCCACGTATTAGGACACTACTTCAGTGGCGCTTTTTTTACAGACTATCCAAACGCATGCAAATTGAAATAGGCCAATGACTGACAAATGAATCAAAACTGTAGATGCATCTACAATATACCTTTCTTCGTCTCGAGTTTTACGTCTGGCATCGTCGTGAATCGTTTCATCAGACGGCTGGCTCTAGGCGCGAAACGAAGTGTTCCTATGCTCGGATTTGAACCTAGATCATCCTACTGTTCCTAAGGTTAGCGATTAAGTACGTTATCCCTCTAACCTGTCACGGGTGTATTTATACCAGTTTTCAATTGATTCAACTGATCTACTTCGAGTTAACTGATAAAATGATGCTATTGAACCAAGCTTTAGCAGGAATGCTAAAAACCCAAGGGCTTTGTTGTTATCTCTTCATTCGTCAAATACCACACCAGGTACTGTTAACAAAATCAAGAAAAAGCTCATATAAATACCGTGGCATCGATTGTAAAATAATAATGCATGCAGAAATGCATAGTCTTATTCAGTGGTTTATCACATTTTAAACAAAACGCAGTCGGATATAATCAGTGACTAGATCTCTAAATTAGAAGGTAGAAAGTAGAAACACATTAACATACGACTGAACAAAGTTCAGTAGCTGAAGTATCTGTGTACGTGCATAATGTTTGCTTCGAAACCATGTTTGTGTTTTCACCATGTTTTTTAAGCTAAGTATCTGCTGAGCTTATTTTTTTAAACAATTTCTTTCACCTGGGCATTATAGATGAGCAGGCCGCCTTCAGCACGCGACCGGTTAAGGTACCCTGAGTATTGTACCGCTGTAGCTTATTATGAAGTAGTGATTCATGTTTTAATTCATGTTGGATGCTTTAAGATTTGTCTGATACATTTGCTCTGTTCAGTAGGGAAGAGGGAAAAATCATACTTATAACACAGGTAAAAAATATGGGATTATAAAAAAAATACCGGTTTACAGCTAGAAAAGGTGCTATTATAAACTAAGCAACATCTGTTCCAGTTAACCTACTGGTCGTACGCCTAATTGTCTAAGATTTTTCCATAAAATGAGATGCCTATTTTTTTTATCTTTCTTAATTATTGTTTTTCTTAGTTGTCAACATAAATTTCACATTTGCCCCTCAGGGCAATTTCATTGCTGTCCTTGAGTTATGCCTATACATACGTTTTTAGGTATGTATACCATATCTACAAGACTGGCAATATAACGCCGTATTGCAGAACCTGGCCACGGTATTTAGCTTCCTGAATAAATAACATATTCCTTATAATATTTTTGCATACATATTTAGTCGTTATATCTTGCTTAACAAAATTCATACTTAAATAAACAATAATAGAAGAGTTACAAATAACTTTGCTTTCTTTCTTTCTTTTTTTTTTCTTAATTAAAATATTTAAGTAAACTTAGTATTATGAAAATTGTCTTGCCTAAGTACCTTATGATGAAGAAAAGATACGAATAGATCATAAATGCGAAGTTTTATAAGACTTCCGATAGAAGTCACGTTTAAACATTTTGAAGATCTCTGGATCTGATGCAGGTTTCAGTACTATTCACAAAAACTATTTCAATTAAAGGATCGTTCACGTAAACATGGCAGTAAAATTTGACGAAGTCTTGGCATAGGCCTGTATTGTCGTATGACGACTTCTTAATAAAACACGAACGGTCGCCGTGTTTTTACGAGTTTGCACCCGCCTTCGAATAGCTCCGAAGTTAAGTGTGTTTCGAGCATTTTCGAATATAGCGCTTATTCAAATGAAGGCTCTGTTAAGGAGTATTTTTCAAAAATCGGGTGACCAGACGCGACGCACCATTGATCTTTCATTGAAACTATTTAAATGCACCACAACTTTAGTTTCAAGTACTGGGCTATATGATCGTTTTTCATCCCCAAAGTCACTACCTTTAATAGATGTTCTTCGAAAGTTTAACCTAATCTAGTTTATAGGGGGCAATAGTAGCTCATTTTGGTCTGTCCATCCTCTCATATTACGTACATTCATTATCGGTCCATAAGTAAGCAAAGAAAAAGTCTCGAAATGTTAAGATCTAAAAATACTGGCATACTACGCCAGCAGAATGCGGTTCTCTCCGGCAAACCGTATTATCAAACATAAGGTCGCCGACTTTTTAATGCTCACATGTACTCACGATGTCTGCAATACCTTTTGTGTGTGTGGCTTTGTTTAAAATTTAATCCTAGAACAAGCTCATTGGAAAATGTTTTCAAAAATTACTTTTTTTAATATTGCTACTTTTGTCATCTATAGGATTGTGCGTTAATAACGTAATCCGTATGTATCAGTTATTGTGGGTTCGTCGTCTATTTTTCTCATGTTCGGGTGCGAATTAAGCACCATAGTATGAGGGTGAGAGATTTAGTTCACTAATTAGAACCAGGGGGCGCCACCGTGCGCGAGTACAAGCAACCATCGCGTGGTCTGCTCTCCCCCAAAAGTGTACAGGGTGTCCTGCCTTAAACCCAGGCGTTTCACTTTGAA